ATAAATGATGGCTGCGTGGTTTGAACCCACAATCTTGCATGTTTAATTCAACACCTTATACCACTTGGCTAAAGTGTATTTCATTGTTTGTAATCATCTTACCGAGATTATAAGTTTTTTAAAAATACCTAGGGGACCCACAAAACTGCTGACGTGGCGCGTTGTGGAGCCTAGAAAGTGTACTATTATAATATAGATTCTGACATAACGACTTCATCGGCGTCTTATATGACAGATGATGATTTATTTTTGATTAGTTAACCCATATATAACATTCTGTAAAAGTGATCCTTCTGCACTATATATTAAAGCTTCTAGAATTTTAATTTTAATAAGTGGATTAGTTATTTGGTTTATTTTCTTGTTTTTATTGTTACTTTTAGTTACTAAATGACCAGCTAAAAGTCAACAAGCGTTGACCTGAATAAAGACTTTTTGAGTCATAAACCAAGGACAATGTTCACTATCAGTTATGGATAAATTCTTTTGACGTTATATAAGCTGAAGTCTGATGATGGAAGTCAATAGACTCAGATTTATGTTAAAGGAAACAAACAAGAAGATAAAATAAGTTGGGTCTTAAAACATAATCACTCTATTTTATTATAAACTAGAGTCGGTCCGCCCTACGGGCGGGGTATACTCTATATATAATGTCGATTGTTAATTTTTCTATCATTTGTATTATAGGTTTGGATTGCAAGAGATTTATATGATGTTATTTTTTGTATTGTAAAAAAATTTAGAGGAGACAGGATTATATGTAATATAATTTAGTTTGATTTGTTTATGGATAGCTTGAATATATATTTTGTATTTTACTGTTTGTGGCTCTAAAGTATCATATGTTTAATTGGGGGGGGGGTATATAATGCAACAAATGGGTTTGTAAATTCTACTTCTTCTTCATATTGGTCTTTGTATTATTAATATTAAGGTAGAATCCATTTTTACATGTCCTGATCGTTGTAATGTTAGTAGTCTTTATAGTGTTGTATTGTTTCTGATTTGGAAATTTGATTAATGGTATATGGATTATATTTTTAATTCTTATTACGTATTGGTTATGTAATTGTTTAATCTCGTTTGGGATGTTGCAATTTGATTATGGTTTATTGGTTTTGGTATATACTGCATATAAATTATTGGCTTTTTTAATTATTAGTTTCCTTATGGAATAGGTTTGACAATACGTAGGCTTAAGGTTTGATGCTATATCTTTGAAAAATATTTGAAACATTTGTTTGTAAATTTCTGTGTATTGCACTAACGGAATCGGTTTAGTTATATTATTTAAAATGCGGCGGACATGTATCACATTCACTGTTTATCATCTAACATTATTATAAATACGTGACTATAATTTATTTTCAAGCCTTCGGGAAAATATTAGTGTCTAATGTTTTGTTAACTTCATTTGCAGGCCTGTTTAGCATTTGCTAATAGAAACCATGAAGAGCATTCTGAATGAAACATAGAACACCCACGAAACAGTAAAAGAAAGCAACAATTTTTTTTTGAATGAATTTTAAAGTTATTCATCCGAAAGTACCTTTTTTACATTAATGCATCTATAGTTTGGAAAAAAAATAGCTTACATAGGACTACTTGAGAACAATAATCTGAATCAAACTCAGCTTGAATGGGTAGGAGAGGTTTTTATTCGAGAGCCAAGCCACACTCTCATAGCTGTTTCATACTTCGTGTACCTTGAATGGCAGTGATCTTGTTTCTGATTTGTTTATCCAAAAGAGAGAGCAGTAGGGTCCAAGGCAGGGCATGCTCTCCCATTCGTCTGACATTTCTCTCATGCTAAATGGCATAGACTGCAGCTTGCAACGCGTAGCAAAAAGCAACATTAACCAAAACATGAAAAGAAAAACAGAACATAAGCATTAGTAAATAGCAGAGGTCTGCGTCCATGTATCTTGTGATTCCAACTCAAGCCATACGCGCCTTCTTGACCATCTTAAAGGTACCAGCTTTCATCGTTGCCTCAACTAATCCCTCCACTTTCAGTCTTAGCAGTAACTCGTTTGCTACAAGGCGTGTCCTCTCCATCATCGTCGTTACCCCCCTGATACAATAAAGTGGTATAGATACATAAAGATATTGATTGTGTAACGACAGAAGAACCACTAACACACATTGTCGACGTACGCAGGGAGTGGTAACCAAATCACGTTTATCTATGATGCGTGTGAACGTGAATGTCTGGTGATTAGATGTGTTAAAACGTTGTAGATGATAAATAATGTAAGAGACAGATTAGTGAGAAGAAGAGAGAGCGGTTCGCTAGAAAAAATTTTGACTACACGTTCTAGAGTATTTGAATAACATAGCACTTACATTGACATCAACCATGAGTGTCTTCAATATAGTCTCACTATTATATATGTTTCTTTCGCAAAACAAAACAGTGTTTCTTTTTTCAGAGATTCAAGAGAGTATAAAATGTGCTAGAGAAAAAATGTTGAAGTATTGCGTTTACCCACCTGGAAATTCTCTACTGCTGTGCTCATGTTCTTGGAAAACAAATTTAGAACCACCATATGAAGAAGAAGATGTATGTCTTGAAATCGAGTCCTTTTAGTACACATCCATTCTTGAAAAGGCCTTGGCTGCTCGAGAACCATCCTGCAAAACCCACCTGCAAAACCCATAAAAACCAAACATCCACATCAGTTTATATAATGTCCCTTCATAAAAATCAAACCTTTGTACCAATACAGAGAATCAAACCGTAGAGAAACTATGTTTCAGACAAAACAAATCGAGAAATCACCAAAAGCAAATCATTGCAGAACCGGAAACCTTCTTCAAGAATAATTCCAGAAATCCGTCAAATCTTACCATCTTTTATTAGAGATACTTTACCCAATACACTATATTAGCGGCTCAAAAAGAGAGGTAAAGATTGACTCTCCTAAAAAGAGGTTCAGATGATTTGGTAAAATAAGTTCCCGATCAATAATCAATCGGTGTTGAAGAACAAAGCTGTGAAAGGCTGGTGATGAGCACAACAAAAAGCTCATATCTGGTATCAAGATCAAGACTTATTATCTTCAATCAAACTGAGAGAAAGAGATGAAACTGAGGCTATGCTCGAAATTGGTGAAGAAGCACTTCCAAAGTTCGCCAACACGTAGAGAAATTCCGCAACCGGATATTTAAATCGATCAGTTGATCAAATATCTTATAGACAAAAACAAAAAACTCATGATCCCTTTGAATGATCAAATTTTGTTAAGAGAAACATTGAGAGTTTTTTTCTCTCTAAACGGAAGAAAGAGGGTCTCCAGAACTCACACAAAATCTCGTGCAAAGGCCAAAGATTACTGGCCCAAAAAAATCAGTCTACGTGGACTTAATGATGTGTCAGCCTATGTGGTATGCTTTAGAGGGAAGGATGCTTTTCTTTATATAATAGATAATAGATGTCACTTTATCTTTATGCATATAAATTATAAAACAATTAATTTTACATATATTCTATATAAAACACACAAATATTTATACATCTAATCATATTTAAATCAATAGAAAAATAAACTACATAATAAAATTAATAAATTTTGTATTAAAAATCAAAAATAATATTTATTTTGTAACAATTTCTTTTTATTGTAACATTTAATATTAAACGGAGAAATAAATACTCTCTCCATTTCAAAATAATGTATATTCTAGCGTTTTCACACTTATTAAGAAAATACGTAAATTTTTGACAATAAATGTATTATTTTCTGTGTTTAGCTATTTTCTATAATTTTAACCAATCAAAATTCAGTAAAGGTAATTAATATCTTTGAAGTTTGCAATCTATCATTATTATTTACATAAAGCTTTTAGAAACAATTTATTTTCTAAAATATGAATCATTCGAAATAAATTTAAGTTATAACCCTTACCATAAGACGGTGGCAGATAATATTTTCATTAGAAAAAACTCACAGAATTTTTGGTATTCAAGGAATAGCAAAATGTATTTTAGAATGTTTACGTGTCCTAGTGGCATTGGATCATGACGAAACGTACTCCGAGAAATGCGGCTGTTTGCCGATCTCTTTACTTCACAATCACTGGTTTTGTTTTCACCACTGCAGCATCTAATTATTCTCTCTCACACTATAGTTTTATTATATTTCTATTGATAATGTGGTACGTAGTAAGATTTTTTTTGTTTAATTATTTAACTAACCAATACTGTATCCCTTGGAAACTAATGCTTCGGTCGAGTTTTATGGTCTAATGAGATATTTACTGTAACACGGCATGCCCTAAAGGAGAGAATACAAACTAACGCCACTTTATACCAGAAGGTCAAAAACTTAAAGGTTAATGGCGAACTCAATAACGAGATAATCTACTTAAAAGTACAAGACTTGGCCGTATATATAACCTTTAAATATATATTGTTAATTTATTTCATTATATAAAGAGAGTACAAATCTGATCTTCCTTTCTCTCTAACTTAAGAAGTGGTCGAAGATGTTTACATTCTGAAAAGTCAGCGTCTCTTTCTCTCGTTTCATCAACCATTCTTCTTTTTCCCAAAAAAATTTCAAAGTTATTCAGGAGATTAATCCAAATCACTTATCACCAGCCTTTTTCCAAAATAGCCACAAAACGATTGTTTATAATCCTAGTTTTTTTTTTGATATTTTTTTGCTGTGTATATATATCTCATATATACATATAAGCACACACACACGCATCATATTACATATATATGTTATGTGCACCGTCTCTGAATCTTTAGACATGGACAACTTCCAAGGAGACCTAACAGACGTTGTACGAGGTATCGGGTCAGTGCCCCTTTCATCATCCACTGGACCACCGGAAGGTCCATCTCCGAGCAGTCTATCTCCGCCACCAATTTCAGATGTCCCCTCCGTCGCCAGCTGTCAGATAAAGCCCTTCGGAGACCCGTTTGTAAGCATGACAGATCCTCTCTTCAACCTTGCGGCTAACAAAATCAACAACAGCTTCGAAGTCTTTCCAGAGGTTTCTGAGGATGATCATATCAAGAGTCAATGCAGTGTCTTCCCGAGAATACAGATCTCACAAAGCCACGATGCCTCAAAGTGTAGTCCCCCAGCCATGGCCGTTTCATCTGCCGTTGCAGCAGCTTCTCCATGGGGGATGATCACTAACAGTCCAAGAAACTGTTTGATGGTAGATAATAGTAATAACACGTCATCTTCTTCGCAGATTCAGATCTCTTCTTCCCCTCGGAATCTTGGCATAAAGAAGAGGTGAATTTATTACAATCCGATCTCTATGATTTAATTATCATTTTGTCTTCTTGATTAAACGAGGTCATTTAATGCTAGGTTCATGATAAAATATAATGACACCATGTGGTTATTTATTATCTTTTTCTCTTTCAAGATTTTTATCAAATAAGTACCATTTTTTGAAAAAAATTAAATTAAGTAGCATTTCGACTTTTTCATATTTGAAAACTTGATTTTGTAATCACTAAAGTTTCATGTTGTTATCTTCTTTTAAAAAAAAAAAATCTAATCTGATATATATACTACAGATGAGCTAGCAAATATAATGAATAATAATACGCTATATAATTATATATTACAATCGTATTGTATTGTTTTAAAAAATTGAGTTTCCTGACTGCTATTTCATAGTATTATTTCTTGTCGACCATTCTACGAGTTCCATGAAACCATGAGAGACCAAATGAACTAGGGCTTCGTTTTGTGTATGTATATGCGACCTTTATGTTTTTTTTTTCATAGATCTTACATTGTCTATTTTCATTCCATCATTAAAAATGTCATGAGTTTGCTTTTGTTATTATAATATCTTATTTTCCTTTGAAGCGATCTTCACTATTCTTTTGTAATTTCGTTTACATACATTTATATATTATGGAGTGTAAACAAAGAACATTAGCTACGCTTCCATCATATCTCAAATGCAATTCGTTATGCCGCACGCTATGACATTGATCACAAAACTAGCTTTAAATTACAACTAATTAACATGTATATACAAGTATACTCACATGGTCTAATTAAGTCTAGACTGTAATATGATATATATTGACAACAAATGCAGGAAGGGTCAGGGAAAGAAAGTGGTGTGCATACCGGCTCCAGCCGCCATGAACAGCCGGTCCAGTGGGGAAGTAGTTCCGTCTGATCTGTGGGCTTGGCGTAAGTACGGTCAAAAACCCATCAAAGGTTCTCCTTATCCCAGGTACATGTATATACAATATTTACATATTCATGTACCTCTCTCTCTATATATACTTGACAGTTATAAAGCTAGCTATGTCCCTGGATACACGTACATTGCAAAAGTGAAATAAATATGTGACTATGATATGTTGTGTAATATATTAATGTTGTCGTCTCACCATTTTTTCAACAACAAACGTAGATATGCTATACTGAAAGTGAATTTCCTTGAGAGAATTAATAAATTCACATTATAAGAAGAATATGCACCTTTATTCCTTTGACAAGCAATACTGCAGGTGCAATCAGATCACTACATGTAACTATAAAGTATACAGTTCCATCTTTTTCCGGCGCACATAGCCTTTAAATTCCTTATTGTGAAATTTGATGTAAATAACATCTTATAATCATAATACTCCATAGGAAAAGATAGGATATCGTTTAAATGTTTTCCTATTCTCTGATTTGTGCCAAGTGATCATCTAATGAGTTGTTACTTCCTGTGTGTTGCGCATACATGTTTTATTGGAAAAGTAATTTTTCTCAAGAAAAGGCTACGTACTCGCACACACACAGACACATATATCTAACAAATAAACTTTGTTAAGCCAAAAATCTTATACATATTAATTACATTATGGCTAATCAAGTCTTTGATGGCTACTTGAATGCTTTAAATATTTGTTCCTCAGGGGTTACTACAGATGTAGCAGCTCAAAAGGTTGTCCAGCTAGGAAACAAGTGGAACGTAGCCGCACCGATCCAAACATGTTAGTCATTACTTATACATCTGAGCATAACCATCCATGGCCAACTCAACGCAATGCTCTCGCCGGCTCCACTCGGTCTTCTTTATCCTCCTCTTCAAACCTTTCTTCCAAATCCTTAACCGCAGCAACTAGCTCTTCCTCGTCCAGAGTCTCCAAAGACGAACCCAATAAGCCTCACTTAGCATCCTCCTCCACTCCTCCGTCTCCTTATGTGGCGGCGGCGGTTAAAAAAGAGAACGTTGAGGAGCGTCAGGAAAAAATAGAGTTCGATAATGACGTTGATGATACCTATAGACCAGAGTTTCAACTTCAGCAGGAGGATTTCTTCGCCGATCTTGATGAGCTTGAGGAGGATTCTCTAACTATGTTACTTTCTCGAGGATTCTCCGGAGATAATAATAGCGGCGGAGGCAACAACACGACGATCCCCGACGTATTTAGCGATTTCTTTGATGACGACTCTTCAAGGTCGTTATAAAAACTATTGTTATCTATACGTATATAGAAATGAACCTAGACATGAATTTCGTGTAATTCAGTTGCTTTAATGACGATATTGGCCCTGGTGGGCATCATCGGCATCTGTAATCGCTGAGGGTAATCTCTTCATTTACCAAACAATTTTTTTTATTGTGAGAGGTTCATCTTATATAGTCAAAAACAATATTTCACTGGTTTTGTGAGTTCATGTGGCTTTCTTATTTTTCAAATGCTTTTGAAAAAGTTAAATGATCAAGACTATATATTATTCTTCAGCAGGAAGATCACACACCAAAATAAGACAAATTTAAAGCTGGTGAAGGACTATATTATTATTATGAGAAATTGGTGTGGTTACACCCAGAACCACCGTATATTAGTCTTCTACCCGTGCCATAACTTTCTTTTTTTCGTTCCCATTTTGCCCCTACTACACACTACCCACTACACTCATAGGTCTCTGTTCCGTGTCAGCAAATTGGACTTCCGTCGGCGAATTAACCAGATTCCCAACAAGTATGGGGTACACAACTTCTCTCCAGCTCACGCGATTGCCCATTAGGTTTCCCACTTCTTCTTTTTTTTTCATTTACACCTCTTCAATTTTATCATTGCCATCATAAATTTTCTAATTGCAAATCTCAATTTTCGATACCTTCATTTATCACTTCCTAAAAAATCTCATCTTTTTTTTTTGTACGCCTTCTCCTTATTTTTTAGTAACTTCACTGCGTCAATGGATCTTCATCTTCCTGAGCGAATGTTTGTCGCCGGCGAGAAACCTTCCGGTGAACGAATTAACTCGTACAACAAGATCAAGAGAACCGAGGCCATCATCGATGCTCTGGATCCTGAAGAGTTTGCGTTCTTGAAGAATTTCACATTTGGGAAGATTATGTCTTTAGATGAGAATCCTCCATTCTTTGGGCAGTATATCACTGTTAGGCTCTTGAAAGTGAACAAGAAATAGCAGATTCGGATTCTACTCGCCAGAAGATCTATTCATTTCACTTCATGAGTTCGCGATCGTGACTTAGACCATGGATACCAAGTTAGTCTCAATGTTGTTTTGTGGCTGTGAATATTTTATTTATCTAGTTAATTTGTAGATAAATGTTAAGAAATTACATAGCGTGATAAACATGTAATTAGTTGTTAAGTCAAATTATTGCGTTAACTAAAAATATGATAAAAGTAATTGGCATTGAAATCTATTCATCATTTAAATTTTGGTCACTTATTGCATTGGTTTATTAATATATACTTTGTATCTGAATTTTGGTCACTTTTTTTATTGGTCTTAGTCCGATGTGAAACTAGTTCACGATGACCCATCGATTAGTTGTATATGTTTAATATTAACGAACAAACTTAATCATGTTGCTAAAGATTTAAGTTTCTGTTAATGTTTGTTTGTAGTGACCGTTATTGTATGTGTTTACTGTTAACAAAAAACTTAGCCGTTAACAATAATGTGTGTTCTATATAAGTATGAGAAATGACATTCAGCTTGGTGTTTTTTCACAGTTTCTATTTTCATGACTTATAAGTGGACATGGAGTCTATTCTCGATGGTACGTACGAAGAACAATAATTTGAGACGCATATGAAAGCTGCGTCAGATTTAGAGTCAGAGCAATTGATGTACTTTTTTTTTTTTTATCAAAATTGAGAAGCTGAGAAAAGAGAGTTGAAGCCGAAGAAGAGGCAAGTAAATTCATGATGTTGTTTTCGATATAGATAACATTTTTGTTAGCAGGCATTTTACATGTTACCCGATATTATTTATTGTTTTAGAAGATCTTCTATTTTATGTCCACGTTTTAGATAAATATCTTGTTAAATGTTATTATTATATAATCGTAACTGATAACATATGTATTGGTTACAATACTATTTACATACTAATATAATAGTTAGACACTAATACTATTTTTAACACCCAACATTTAATGTTAACATTCAATTTTCAATTTTATAAGACTCTTATTCAACACCTAATATTAAACAAGGTGATGATAATAATCAATCGAATAAATTATAAATCATCAATATGAAACAAAATGAGTTGTATAGTTGATTTAGAAATCACTAGTACATCGTAGCAGCTACAATATAATTTAACACCCATATATTATAAATACACGTTGAACAAAATAATGGTCGGTAAAATATATGTTATCTGTGAACTTGGTATTATCTTACGGACGGCTAGGGATAAGCTAGTATTATGATGATACCATCTCCACCGCTGCCCCTCCTTTAGTACTCACTGGTCCTCCAAAAGAGTTGGTAGATGACTTTGTGTCTTCGTCCACACCAATAAGTGGGTAGCAAGAGATGGTTGTGCTCTCTATTTCCTGATCCTCCTCCATGGTGCATACATCCGTAAGAACCTCTTTGCTAGCTTGCACCCTACCCTATTCCCTCAGTTAAGTCTCGTGTTACCTGATAAACATCGATAATAACAGCTACAAACAAAATTATCATTAACAAGTAAGTTAGCAGATAAACCTTTTGTTTAGCAGCTACAACCCCTATCTTCTTCAACACCACAATCAACACATTTATCTTTTATTTTTGTATCATAGCAATATGTATCAACTTTTTGACTCCCAGATTCCATTCTTCTCCGTCTTCCATTAAAAGCAAACCTGTTTATCATCATTGTCGTCATCACCAGTTTTGTGATAAGGTAAAAAATGAAACAAGGCAGGAAGAATGAAGAGAACAAAGGAGACTTATTGGCTTTCTTCATATCCTTCCATCTTCTCTCGCCGTGCTCCGTCCATATTCCATCTTCTTCTTCTGTTCAAAGCCAACAACTTTCTAATGAACTTACTTCTTGCCGCAAGACCCATAAAATCTCATCTCCAAAATTGTAACTTTTTCTTCAAATCTTAACCTTGAAACTCAATTTTTTTCGATAAAAAGATGCTGTTAGGTGATGAGAATTTATTTCCAAAAAAAAATGAGAAAGTTATCTAAAAAGAAGACAGAGAAGAAAGAAGTTTTGACATCAAAACTAAAAGAAACGTGTGGTGAGGAAGCATAGTAGCTGTAGACCTACTATCTAGAACAGCGTTTTTCGTGTCTGACACACTTTTCGTTCAACCTGCTGCGTCAGGATACGGCCAATTTCGAGAAGAATAGATGAGGGGTAAATTCGTCATCCTAAGCCCAAAAGGATACTGCTTGTGTTGGTTTCGATCTTTAAGGTCATCCCACTAATTTGGGCCCGTTTTGGGTATATTTCACCTTATCTCTCTATTATTATCATTCAAAACATCAATGCATGGTATACTCATCAGTAATTTGTGATTGAAACCGTAAGAAGATTGCGTGACAAAAAAAAAATCGTAAGAAGAAAAACTCAATATTGACTTTCGATCAATTATTCTAGCTACTTACAATATTCAAAGAGGTGATTACTCAGTTAATAAATGATTATTTATAGGTTTGTATATATATATATATATATATATACAGAATACACATTCTTACTCAGTTTTCTTTCATAGATTGGACGTATGGGAATGGATCTCGTCATGATGATTAGAGTTTTCAAATCTCATTATATATACTACTAGTTTAAAAGACTCTTCATGATGGTGAGAATAATACTGACCATGCATGTGGATGACCTTGGAAGGCAGGAAGAAAACCCTAGTTTCATGGCTTTTCCTACGGAACGAAATAAATTAGAATCCCGTAATAATTAATAGTTATTGTAGTTTGATATAATAATGCGTTTTCAATAAATTGATATAATAATATGTTTTTTATTCATTATTCCTTGTGAGTCTGTGACTGGTTCAGAGGGAAAACAAACTGCATCGTTGAGGTGCCGCCTTATTATTTTTTTCTTATTTCCTTTTTAAAATAACCATCTGATTTATTGAAATCATGGTGGGACTGTAACACATGAAGTCCATATCTTGATTTTACTTTTAATTATCAGCAGGATCAACAACATCGGATCTATACCAGTTTATAGAACGGAGAAACACGATTTAGTAGAATCGAATTATAGTAGGACAAATCGTAAATATGGATATCTAACCACTTGAGTAGTGAGTGAGGCTTCCTCTCTTAATAATTATTTTTATCAAGAAAAAAAAATCTAACTTTGATACTTCTATAAAACATACACTTTATATAATTCAAGTAACTATTTGAATGTTAAATCACCGTTAGAGAGTGGAAGGTTATGATAGTGTGGGCAAAGGGAAGTGTGAAATCTCAACTTTTGATAAAAAAATATTCTGGAAATAGTGACCTTAAGTTTTGTCAAATCCATCGGACTCTGATTGATAGAGAAAGAAAAGTTGCATCACAAGTTTTAATACTTTATATTTATAAGTGATCGATTTGATGAGAGGGCTGGAGAAAAGAACAGTCGAATATTACACGATTAATTATCATAATATATACTTTTCTATGGTTTTATCCTCCATGATGGGACATAGAGAATGAGAGGTCGTACTGAATTTGGATAAAGATTTTAGTGGCCAAATAGGCTTATGGATGGTGGTACTATTTGGGGTTACCTTCATATTGATTAGTGAAAATGTTAGCCTTTTATTTTATTTTGGGGTATAATCATGGGAATTTTTTATTTTAAATTCCAAAAGTAAGAATATGATTAAAATATACTGAGTTAAGTCCCATCCAAAAAGCTTTCGAGACTAGATTCTTATAACTTTTTTTTTTTGGTCAAGATTCTTTATAACCTTAAATCCAATAAAAGAAGAATAAGCCGGTGATAATGATAGTTTGCTAATAACCCAAAATTATAGCGATGAAAGGAGTATGACTGTAGGAGAGATTGATGTATGTCAATATCGATTATATTTTTATTCACGTCATAATGTTTTTTCTTTTATGAGAGTAACGATAAATTCCTCCATTGAACATATGCACATCAAAATTGTTTTTCTTTCATAAGCTTATGTGTTTTTGGGCTGTCTTTTTTAGGTTCTAGTCAACACATGTAATAAAAGTAGATGTTTATACTACTAGTAAACTGAAACTCATGAAATTCCAAATCAAATTTTCATTTCTTTTACAGTAATTAAAACCATGATAAATTTTTTAAAAAAAACTAAACTGGAAAACCCCAAAAACCAAGGCATTAATCACTCAACGGCCCCTTTCTATCGCGGATTGGAGAGTTGGTTTAATCCGATTGTTCCGGGCTGTAAATTTGTAAGACCCACAAGATAAAGCAATAAAGCCCCAACATTTGTTACCTTTTTAATGTAAAACATGCGACATACATTAACCAGAAAATGTCACACGATAACTAATACATTGACAACTAGATGCTAGCTAATACATAAGACTAATACAACATAAGTATTAGTTCCTAGTTAAGGGGAGATTAACCAGGACCATTAGCCACTAATGAACAAAACAAAACATAAACTAACAACACAAATAAGCAAGGACAGACACAATTTGGGCATTCAGACATTAAAACTAGTTAGACAAGTCTGCAGATAGTAACTTGTTGATCTCTCCAGTAATCATAGGATTTCTCCAAATAGATTCTTCACTTGATAGATCTCGAACCATTCCACACGGAACCAAACATACTTCATGCGTTGATAGCTTCTCCTGGATTTCTTGTGATCCAAGTAAAACTTGAGTTTCGATTTCCACATCAGAGATATGCGTCTACAAATTAACAAACAGAAAACATGATTATGGTTCCAAATAATTAGTGATGTTGTTTTGAAGGATGTTATTACCTTCTTTCTCGTCTGCATCATTTGGAGAATCCCAACTTGGCTTTGTAAGAACTTGACATACTTAGCGGCGGCTTGGAACATCTCTGCGGTGTTGAGTTTCTGACCACCTGGGATGAGTTTCGTGAGCTCATGAGTCTTGTCCGCAATTCTTCTTCTTCTCTCACGAGCTGCGATGCTCTGAGATGAAAGCTTTGGTTTCTTGGTGCCGTGGCTTCCGTCTTCATCTCCTCGGCCTACCTTGAACTCTAAGGGGATATCTGGAACTTGAAACTCCGGGAAGATGAAAGCTTCTGGAGCTAAATCAAGCTCGTCGTAGTAGTTCAAGAAATTAGGGTTAGGGTTTGGCAAGTGGTTGTGAGGGTTACAATGGTAGCTTGAGTCAACTGCAAGTTTCTGGAGTTTTGGCGCGGAGAGGAAGAAATCTAGGTCGTGTGTTTCAGTTTTAGGGCAAGGAAGATAGGTTTCTTGGGGAGGAAGAAACTGGTCGCAGAAATAGTCCAAGTCAGTGAGCTCTAGTAGGGTCTGAGAAGGAGCTTCTTCTTGAAACAATGGCTGATGGTATTGCATTTGAGGTTGAGTTTGGAAGAAGAAACTGTCGGATTTGGGGATAGTTGTATCCACATTGGGAATAAAACATTCCTGGAGCTGGATAGGTTGATCCCAGTCAAAGAAGTGGCTTAAACAATCCATTGACGACATTGCAAAGATGAAACCTGTAGAAAGGAAGAAGGTGAAGCAATCAGGAAGGAGTTACAATAGTTTAAAAGATGATTATTAATATGCTTAGTTATGCTTTAATAACTAGTAACGAGCTAATAGATTATGTCCACAAAAATAAACTAGACAAGAAAAAGAAAAGACAAGAGAGGATATCTGAGAGAATCAAAGACCTGGAGATTGATTTTAGAGGATAATGTCGTGTCTTTTGTTCTAATTCAAGTAGACTTCAACGTTGTAAGTTGTTTACTAGTTAACTGTCTCGTAGGCATATATATATGAGAAAGAAAAGGGTTTAGGGTTTTTAGAGCGGAAATAAAGGAGAGGTTACTCTTGGTTTTCGATTTTTTTAGGTAACGACCTTCCGATTTATAAGGGAATAATTCATTCATTCATTTATTTTAATGTATCTTATTATTAATTTAGAGACGTTCCCAAAATAAGATAAAATCAGTGATTGGCTCATTAATTTTTTTGGTTTGAAAATTGTCAGACGTGCATGTAAATAAGTACTATACAACTGTATGAAATATTAGCCATTTGAAAAGTAATAATTGTTACAGAAATACAAAAAACACAATATATCTTACTATAATTGTGTTTCAAAAAAAAAAAAAAAAAAATCTTACTATAATTTTAGCAGCGCATATGTTACTTTTAGAGTTTTAGTATATTAGTATGGTTTGGAACCAAATAGTATGAGTAACTGACATTTTAAAGTTATTTTGAAGACCATTATAATCCATGTGTATCAATAAATTTGGACTAATACGCAATTTTTTTCCTGTCAACGACTAATAAGCAATTTATATTCAGTCTGCTTACGGTTACTCCTCACTCAATAACTGCATCCTCTCGTTTTTATTTTTAATCCTTAATTTTCCTAACTAGCTTAATTAGTATTCCAGATTTTATTTTTTCCTTCTTTGTGGACTTGGTAAAAGATGGCGACTTTGGCGGGTAAAGCTGGTTTCGTGGTTCCACGTGCCTCAGTCCTTACTTTGCTGCCAAGTTTACTATCTTTCAAGTTGCATGGGCTTGAATGAGAAAACTAGGCCGTTAAATTGGGTACTAGCTCACTGATGCATTCTGTGCGAAGCCCATTATTAGAAAGTATCAAAAACGAAAGAAAAATAAACTCCTGGCCGCCTGGTTGGTTGATTTTCCAAGCCAATTTGGAAAGAGCTTCAAGATGATTTTTCCATATTTAAATCCGCGTTTGTGGCGCATTATATGTTTTCATATCAACTAGGTGACTGTGAGGAACGTGTTCTGTACAGTAAGAAGCCCAGAGTTTTAATATAGCTAAAATAAACTAAAATTTACACGTTCTTAATAAATATGATCTAAACAATAAGATTGATTGTTAGCTCAAGAAAATTGAGTGTCAAACAATAAGTTAAACTGTAGAGGAAGGAGCCCAGAGCTTTAATATCGCAACAAAAAGTTCAAATTTTCACCTTCTTAATACATATGATCTAAGAGCATAATTAACCCATAGGTGCTTAGGGAGTTGCTTATTTGATATATTTTGTTTCTATGATTAAAAAAAAGAATTAGAGATTCCACCAATTGCGGACCGCCATATGTCAGTGAGGCCTACAAAATAGGACAAACACCCGCGTTTATTCAGACTTCAGAAGCAATGGTTGTTTAAATTTTGTGAGCTCCACCAACTATTTAACTAATTTTTGTTAAGCACCCTTCTCCCTAATCACTTGCATTGAAGATGGCCTTAGGTTCAACCTTGTTAGCTCAAAACCTTTTTAGCTAATTTTTGTTGAGCAACCTTGTTAGCTCAAAAAGATTGGATGTCAAGTCATTTAGGTTACCCTCTGGTACCTACTACATACAATTGAAACCTATATAAATTAATAATGTTGGAAGTACAGTAAAACTATAATTTTTTATTAATATATATAGGTTATTAATTTATTGATATACTAATTAAACCAAAAATTCAATTTGAGACTATAAAATTATATTATTTTATAGAAATTTTTAATGTATATTAATTTATAGAATATTAATTTATTTTTTTTTATTTTTTTTTGAAACACATAGAGTATTAATTTAAAAAGGTTATACTGTAGTAAGATATCTCCACCGTGATGGACATGGTTTGGTTAATTTAATTGTAAATGGCTGATTAATTTGTTTATTATTAAAATATTAAATCTGACTAACTCTATTTAAACTATGGTTCGATTCAACTAATTTTGATTTGAATCGAGATTTCTCCAAACTGTTGTGAGAAAATCTCACGTTTTCCCCACGTGTAAATTTGCACTATACATTGTAACTAACCATATCACAAAGCCTGACCAGTTTGGAGCAGTCAGTATCATAGAACAAAACTGTTTATGAAATCTAGGCCCCATTACATTTATTGGAACAAATCCAAGCCATGTCTTGTCCAAAATGTTTAAATTCAAAATCCTATCATGTAGTTTCACTGTGACCTTTTTGCGAAGATTTCTTAAACCACTCTTGCCAATGGGACCAACGACTTTGGTAGTATCATATTGAATTTTTGGCTTTTATCCGTAGAGAATATAAGGGACAAGAAACATATTATACATTATCGACTATGATCATTGGTCTCTCTTGCTTAGAAGATGAACATCTTCCCATGAGATAATCAAAAGTTCTTGGCAATATCGAGTTGGTACAGCCTGTTCTTCTTGAATGCACCAATTAAGAGCCTTTGGAAATTCAAATAATCATTAAACTTAAACCCGTGAATGCATGTTGTTGTGGGAAAATTATTGATAGATTTATCCGGTGGAGATTAAATTCCTTTAGAAAACAATACGAGTTCCTAGATACCTGTTTTAATTCTCAAGATTCTTCGACGTTAAAATCACTACTCCCTCTGTTTCATATTAAGTGTCGTTGTAGAGAATTTTTTGTGTTACAAAATAAGTGTCGTTTTCGGTTCTCAATGCAAAATTTATTAATTTTATTATGTAATGTGTTTTTCTATTGGTTAAAATATGGTTAGGTGTATGGGTAATTGTGTTTTTATATAGGAAATATGTAAAATTAATTATTTCCTTAATCCGTGTGCACAGCTATAGAGTGACACTTATAATGAAACAGAGGGAGTATCTTTTTGCCATGAAACTTAACTAGTAGGAAACCATAAAATTTTGAGAAGCATGCAGATGAAGAAAATATAATCTGTGCATAGATGGGAAAATTATAGACGTGGATGCGTCTGTTGGATAATGAAGCCTGGAGACACAATTATGAAGCTCTTCCTATACTCTTCGAAGTTTTGGCATATTGACTTTTTAAAAATAAAGCTAATAATGTAGTCCCCCTCAAAGTTACAAAACTAATGAAATTAGATATCCACAAGTTTAGACCAAACACCACCAATGTTGCAGTTTAATTAGAAAAAGAAATCCAATTTATAACTTAAAAGTTAGAAAAGCAAGTCCATACATAAGACAGATCGAACCATATAACATGTTATTCACGAACTTCCATTCAAAACTTCATCATAATAATAAAAATTAATATAAAATAAAAGAAGCCTTTACTAAAAAAAAATGTAAAAGAACTGATTCATTTCGTTTGGCGTTTTCCACCGGAGTCGCCAGCATATACCGTTTATTCTCATCATTGGAGATTCCCATATTAGCACAAAAACATATCTATACTATTATTTAAGAAGTAAATTTGCTTAGTTGTCATGTTCTCCTTAATTTTAGCTAAATTTGTTTATTTATCTTATTTAAATAATTTCATATACAATTTATTATTTAATAAAAATGAATTTCTATTAAGAATATTATACTTTTACAAAATAAGATAATTCTTATGTATTATATTGCTATCTTTAAAATATATTTTTTTATCATAGAAATTAAAAATTAAGTTACAATATTAATAGCTAAATATAAAGAAAGCAATGCTGATTTATCAACTTCTCCATAGTTTTATACTTTGCTTATTTATCATATTTTAATAATTTCATATATAATTTATTAAATATAAAACAAATGTATATAATAATACTAGATTTTTTTTTAAAAAAAGAAGATAATTCTTAAGTATTAGACTGTTATCTTAAACATATATTTTCTATTATAAAATTTAAGTGAATTATCTAATTTGTAATTTCTCCATGATTTAGATAATTTAGATTATTTGTCATATTTTTAATAATTTCATCTAAAATTTATTATAAAATAAAAATGAATTTGTATTAAAAATTATATTTTTAGAAAATAAGATACTTCTTATGTATTATATTGTTATCTTAAAATATATTTTTTATTATAGAAATAAAAAATTAAGATAGAAAAAAATATAATTAAAATAAATTAAAACAACACATTTGTAAAAATATTTTGTTATGTGAGTGTTTTCATTTATAATTAATTTTAAAACATAAATCATAACTTATTATATTGGTTTGAATTAATAAAATATAAACTAATAATAAATTGTACGAAATTTATGCCCGCATGTGCGGGCAAAACACCTAGTTCCATTTATTAGATATTGAAGTTACATCAATGACTTATCTTAGAGATTGAAATAAATCACTGTTTAACAATACATGTCGACCACGAAGAAAAAAAAACACAGCCGATGAAATCGCCAATCCAATAGATTCATCCACAAATTTCATCTTTTTATTTCTTACAATCCTCCAACAACCTTCAATCAAACTAAGCAAGAACCGGAATCCCTTGCTGAGACCGGAAAAAATTAGTCCGGTCGAACCGGGCTTTAACCTTAACCAACCTCAAATAATTCCCTTTGAAATACTTCTCCCCATAAACCTTAGCTCCTTCATACGTCGCATTATACCCCGGCGTAGTGATACCAATATCAACATCTCTATAGTTAAAGAAAGCCTCTCTCGGATTCTTTGAAACATAAGGAGCCATCGCTTCTTTAAAGCTTCTTGCTATCGCCAAGAACTTCTCCGCACGCTCATCTCCCGGTTTATACCAGTTCATAAAATGCTCTATCATGAACAAGTTACCTCCTCTATGAACAAACGCCGTCGCATCAGAAGGAATCTCACCCATTCTCCCTCCCCAAGGATTCCACTGCATCCAAACTCGCCGCGGAAGCGGCGAGTGATCAATCATTGTCTGAAAGATAGCCGCAAGACCTTGTTTCGAGATAGGAGTCTGAACAAAGTCTGATGTTCTTTTCCAGTAATACTCGTTAGCTGAGATTCTCTTTAGAAGAATCTGTATCGGTGCTTTTTCCGGGTAGTTCGCCCAGAAAACCACCGAGTCTATCCACTTCTTCACCATGCAATCCGACGTCGTTAAGTGTAACTCAGGGAACTTCTTTTTCGTTATGTTTAAAAGCCTCTCCGGCGTACCGAGAAACATTCCAATGAAAGATACTTTAATAGTCTTCCCATTCGATTTCTTTTGGTTTATCGGTTTAATCTCTAACCGGATAAATAAATCTCTATCGATAACCGGAGCCACTTGCTGCCACTTGTGAACCAAGTCAACGGCTCCTTCTTTCACCGTCCTCTCAAGCTTAAAAACAGTAACCTTCTCCGGAACCCTAACGAGCTTAAGCTTCCACGCAAGAATCACACCGTAGCTCCCACCGCCTCCGCCGCGTATGGCCCAAAACACGTCTTCTCCCATAGAGCCTCTGTCGCGGTAGACTCTCCCGTTAGCGTCCATGATCTGCGCGTCGACGATATGGTCTATCGATAAACCGTATTTCCTCATTAGGTTACCGAAACCTCCGCCGCTGAAATGCCCTCCGGCGCCGACTTTAGGGCACACACCCGCGGGGAATGCGTGGACGTTGCTTTTCTTGGCGATGTTGTAGTAAACCTCGCCGAGCGAGGCTCCGGCTCCGACCCACGCGGTCTCTTCGGAGATGTTGATGTCGATGCTGTGGAAGTTGTACATGTCTAAGATCACGAAGGGGACGGGGGACGTGTAGGAGAAGCCTTCGTAGTCGTGGCCGCCGCTGCGGACTCTGAGCTCGAGGTTGAGGAGTTTGCAGCATGAGATTGTTGCTCTTATGTGGGTTTCGGTGAGGGCGGCGACGATGGCTTCGGGTTTTCTGTTGGAAGGGGAAGCGAAACGGAGGTTTCTGACGGCGTTCATTAGGTTTGTGGAGAAGGATGAGTTTGTGGGGATCACTGCGGTTGCGGAGTTAGGACCAATGCCGTGGTCGGCTGGCTGAGTGTCGAGACATTGGAGGAAATGTTGTGGGATGGTTAATGAGTAGACTCGTGGGATTGTGATGAGATGGATGATAAGATAGAGTATGGAAAAAAACGTTGGTCGTGACAAGAACTTCATTATTACGTTTTGTTATTTGTGAATGTGTGTAATAGCCTTGTTGTGTTTGTGTGTATTTATAGACTATGTTTTTTTTTTTTTGGGACCCTTGTTGACTGCAAGGCTATCAAATGCAAAAGAACTACGTCAGAAGGATTACACGTGTTGTTATGCGGTAGGTTGATGAGTAAATCATATGGTATTGAGATAAAATAAGTCCACATGAATTTCTTAGACACTATCACTTTTTTTTTTTTTTGTGAAAAGGACACTATCACTTTTGATCGGTGAGATTGGTAATGAATCTAATGATCCTCGTGACGGTGAAGATAAAATGCGACATGTGACGGTATTTCTTTCTGATTTTATGAATGAAATCTAAATTTTTATCTGTATATTATGTATGTCGTAAAGTATTTTGACAAAAGTGGCAATATCCTAATATTTTTTGAAGAAAGTAATATCCTAGTATATTGGAGGCTTTAAAGCGGAAAAGATAAATCATAGTTGAATATTAAAATTATGCTTTGTTGTTGACATGAGTACAGTTGATACAGAAAATGAAAATATGAATTCTAACTTGAAATTAGACTATAAAGCCATAGATTAATACATTGATGTAAATTTAAATTATATAATGTTAGATATATAGTCTAGTAATTATTTCTACAACGAGTAAGAAAATATAGAAAATAACAACCAAGAAAAACATTATCCGAAGTTAACATAGTCCTTGCTAAGAAGATATAGAAAATAGCAACCAAGAAAAACATTATCCGAAGTTAACATAGTCCTTACTATATATTTTTTTTTGATAAGTAGCCATACTATTTTATTAATTATGACATTTTATTTCATGAAACAGCATGATAATGTAAAGAAAATAAAATATAATGTTCAAAACATGTTTAAAATCTGACTACTTATACTGGTGTTGCATTTAGCCATTTAACATATATTGAATTAAAAAGGTAATTTATTTGAATACCCTACTTAGATTTGCTTTGAGTGGTAGTTGTTCTTCATTCTTTGTTTTTCTCCCTTATTTGTACACCAACCTTAAACACAAATGTAGAAAACTGAAAACAGTACTAAGAACATTTCCACGATGAAATACTTCCTCATTTTTAAGTTACAAGAGAAAAATACTCTCTCATCAATATATATTATATTTACATATATATTTAATTTATTAAGTTATAAGATTGAAATTTTGAGTTATAGAAATAATGTAGTCCCGCCAAATATCAAGATATGTGTGTATAATATTTATATTTTCAAAAAGAAAAAGGAATATTAGGTGAGATAGCCATGGAAAAAAACTAAATTTAGTAACTAACTAAAATTTTTCTTTCTCTCTTCATTTCTCTCCCTATCTTTCTCTACTTTCTCACTAGAAAACTATTTTTTTTTTGTTATTTGGCAAATAAACTCGAAAAGGAGAAATTAGGAGATATTACTTTTTTTATATTATAATTCTTTCTGAGTGAAATATCTTTTAAAATAAAATAAAATGTTCAAAACATGTTTAAAATCTGACTACATATTTATACTGGTGTTTCATTTAGTCATTAACATATATTTGAATCAAAAAGCTAATTTATTTGAATACCCTACTTAGATTTGCTTGAGTGGTAGTTGTTCTTCATTCTTTGTTTTTCTCCCTTATTTGTACACCCACCTCAAATACAAATATAGAAAACTGAAAACAGTACTAAGAACATTTTCACGATAAAACACATTCTCATTTTTAAGTTACAAGAGAAAAATACTCTCTCAACAATATATATTATAGACATATATATATATATAATCTATTAAATTATAAGATTTAAATTTTAAGTTACAGAGAAAATGTTGTCCCGCCAAATATCAGGATATGTGTGTATAATATTTATATTTTAAAAAAGAAAAAGGAGATATTACTTTCTATTATATTACTATTTTTCTGAGTGAAATATATTTTAAAAATTAACAATAGAAATGCTATAATAAAACTAATATAAAAGGGCAAGCATCAATCAAACAAACAGTTACCTTTTTGTGTGATTGTCGTTTTACTTGCTTTGCCAGTTCAAATAAAAAATAAATGGTTGTCCTTTTTTTTGAAAGCTTGACTAGTGGTTGTTTTTTCTCCAATTATTGTGATTTTCTCCTTCTTTTTATAATGAGATTTTGTATTTCCATGGATTTGTTTCCGTAATTGTGTGGTTTTTATTTAATTTCGTTGATTGAACAGAGAACGATAATATATTTAATAATTAATTTGGTCATGGGAAGAGTGGTCGGTTCAACTTATCACACGTACGTTGTTTTTGCATCGCATGTTTTTGCAGTTACGTACCCAAATACATAATTATTAAGAATATGTGATTGGAACTAAGATACGAAACACTAATGACAAAATATAGATGAATCTCGTTGACAAGTTCAAATACATGTCTATATTAATGTTCCATTCCTTATCCTAATACAGTATACAGAGAGGAGGACCAATCTACATGTGGGTCGGTGATTCCCAAAAGTAGTGATAACGAACGTAGCAATCATTTGCAAACACTATCTGTTAACCAATAACACCCTAATCGATTGTGTACAGAAAAAAACTGTCATTCGAGTTACATTTTAATATAATGTTTACTTAATCAACCGAATTAAAATATCCCGAAACAAGGTGTGTCAAAGGGCTGCTTTTGAGAGGTTGTACTCTTACCTTTTCCCTTGAACCCTAACCTTATAATGCTGAGCTTTTGCGGTCGTGCACGTGAATCCTATGACCACTTGTTGTTTGCTTTTTCATATCCTTCGGTTAAACTCAATATTATATACTCAAATTTTCTTTCAGATCATCAAAGATACGTTTATCCAATGCATTCTATTTGTGGCGCAGCTTCCCTCCTTCTGGAAAGACAAAAGACTCTTTGGAAGAGTCTTCATCACAAAGCAAGTTAATTACTGTATACATGATTTGGAAAGAAAGAATTGTCACTTCCCCCTTAGGATTACATCCTCTCCTTCCAGTACATTCAAGAAGGTAGAAATGTTGTTCTGGAACTAATGACTAATGAGGACATGTTTTTAATATACAACAGCAGGGTTAATCAATTGATGATGACACAAGAGTAAACATTATTAGTATATATAGTAACTACTATTTTAGTTATATAAGCTGGTTACCTTCCGCAAATTACTCATGCAACTTGATTAAGGTCAGGTTAGCTAAAGTTTTTTTTACTGTTAAAATTTTCTTAGAGAAGTTAGAAATTTCATACAATCACTCAAATATTCTCACATGGTAAGGGTATTTCTTGAAATTCTAGAGAACACTGCACTCAAACTATTTCAATCGAGAACTTTTCACAGAAAAAAACATATTAGTCTTTCTCATGTGTTCTTTCTTCTGATTACCAGTTACCCCAAGTAACTTCATAACCAACGTCAAATTTTATTAGAGATGTAAAAACTGTATTATTCACTTAACTGAAATGTAACCGTATACAATGAGTATTTATATGTACATTGTGAACCGGTTTAATCATATATACAAAACCCGGTATAATAACTCTAATAAATTTTTAGATGAGTTTCCCCGTGTACTTGACTGCACATATAATCAACACATGTCTACTAAAATTCTTGAAATCGAACAAGACGTCAAATTGAATGGGAAAGAGACATCTTGAATTAATGGATCGGAGAGGAAGCCGTTAACGCCAGTCTCCACATCTTATCATGCACAATGAGTATCATACACATGCACATTGATGTTTAAAGTCGTCAATCAAACCTAGGGTTTCAGTGGACCAAAGTTATTAAGGCCCATCGGTTTTGTTAGACCCATTTAGTTCCATTTGTAATGTTTACTCATGAATGAAAGCCAGTCTTATGTGACTTTACAATGATATAGCCAGTTGTGAGATCGAAGCTTGAGTAGTGTGTGTGTGCGCAAATTCAACTTTTGATTGACCTGTTTGATAAGTTGTAGAAGATAGTAGAAGCAAGTATTGTTTATATATATATATATATATATATATATATGTTATATAGGTAGATAGAAATTGAGACTTTGAAGCAAGTATTAGTCACATATGGTTATTGCATAATCTTAAGACAATGTCACTTTGTTACTTTTAAGCTACACATCTCATAACATCATCATTAATCACATCACCTATCGCAATATTTGTTCGACAAACAAAATCCCACATTGCAACGTATATGTATCCAAATAATATTAGCTATACACAGTGATATTGGTCCAAAGAGATAGAACTGGAAGCAGAGCCGGTCTTAGATTTTTAAAGGCTACAAACTCTAAATTAAAAAACACTGAAAAATATTTAAGTGTTTGGTGAATGTCAAACTTATCACCTTTTCGTATCATAATAGCTCAGATAACCACTAGCGTACAAATACTTTTTGTAAAATTGTTGTTGGTTATTTAGTTATTTATTAGCGGCCGGAAGCCTATATTTCATTGGTTTGGTCCAAGGGTCGTGTCTAAGTGAAATCCACTGAAATTGGTCCAGCGAATATAGAAGTTGAACCCAATCACATTTTAGACCACTATAAAGTTCTTTAATAGCATCAAAATCGTGGTTACAGTTACTCTTTTCAGAATTCGTGAAAAAGACCGTGTATGTGTAGATTTTCAGATTAGTCAAACTTCAAATAAATAGAAAACGCTTACAATAATAATACATAGTGTGCAAGGACCCTTGTTAAAATGTACGGATAACATAAGAGATAATTTCAATACAGTTCAAGAAATGTCTTTACCTTCACGCTACAACGACTGTAGATAAGTTGTGTCGGTATCTTTAGATGTGAAATGTAAAGAAAGTGGTGTCGGTATCTTCGAAGTTATTGCGAATTAGCATTGTTAATTCATCTCTAAAGTTACAACTTGATCCTTACTTTCAGATGACATTCATATCTTTGGAACCTTAAAAATTACATACAACATTTAATCATTTAAATATACACAAAACTCTCAGGTATCGTTATCAATACATTCTAGAATGCATTAGTTATA